GCCAGTGAAGCAGCGTCCTCCACAACTAGACTGAAGAACAAAAGGACAGCAACTTGTCTGTTCCCCTTCCCCCAATTCCCCAATAAAAATCTTTGGGGGGAAAAAGAAACAACAACAAAGCAAAAGCAAACCCATAGGAACAGAGACCAAAGAGGTGGTTACCAGAAGAGAGGGGTTGGGGATGAGTGAAAAGGGGAATATAGTCAATAATATTGTGATAAGTTTGCATGGTGACAGATGATTACTGGAATTAGTGGTGTGATCACATTGTGAGGTATAAAAATGTCGAATTACCATATTGTACACCTGATACTAATAAAACCAATATAAGATTGTATACCAACTATACTTATATGCTTAAATATAAAAAGGTAAAAATCATATTTGCCCTTTGGCAACTGGCTCACTTCACTTAGCATAACGTTTTCAAGATTCATCTATGTTGTAGCATGTGTCAGAATTTCCTTTTTAAGACTGAATAATATTCCATTGTATATGTATACCACATTTTGTTTATTGATTGATCCATCAATGGACACGAGTTGCTTTCACCTTTTGACTATTGTGAATACTGCTGCTATGAACATGAATGTAAAAATATCTGTCGAGTCTCTGCTTTCAGTTCTTTGGGGTATATATCTAGAATGGGAATTACTGGATCATTTGATAATTCTACATTAAATATTTTGGGGAATAGCTGTACTGTTTTCCATCGCTGCTGCATCATTGTACAGCTTTCACCAGCAGTGTGCAAGGGTTCCAATTCGTCTATATTGCCGTGAACATTTATTATTTTCTGGTGGAGGCAGGTGGTTGTTTCTTTTTTTTTAATAATAGCCGTCATAATGGTGTGACCTGTTCATAGTTATTTCAGCCCCCTAATTTTATCAATCCTAAAACCTTGGCTCTGGGAACAAGATTTCAACTCTTACAAATACATATTGCTGGCCACTAGAAACTGAATGAACCCAAAATGCCATCTTAATAGATAGTTGCCACCAAAATGACAGCCCTAAATCTTTTAGGACCCAGAGGAAAAAATACATTTATCCACTTAAAGACCGTGCTGCTTAAAAAGTTTCATGTCATCAGTGATTTCTGGTTGTAAGTGCTAAGTGTATACATTTTATGATTTTGTAAATGAATTTTGAATATAACACCTCAATTTTCATTACTACAAATAAAGTGATTTTTTTTTTTAATCAGGTAGTCATAATATGAAACCAGAACAGAGCTTGATTTTTAGGATTGTTAGTGAGTAAAAAAGGTCTTTAAATTTTGAAAGATGTCTGAGTGTCTGAGTTAAAAAAACAAACAAACAAACAAACAAAACACCATAATGTGATAAATAGTAACACTTTTGCTTATAACCATAAAAATGGGTTTATCTTTATAAGATATCTTTAGATTAAAAGTTTATATTACACACCTCTTCAGCTGATGCTAATTTTTTTCTAATTTGCCTAGTTTTACTGTATATTTTGGCCCATTTACCAATGAAAAATATATTTAAAGTTAATGATATGTAAAACTATTAATTGCTATAGAGGAACATGAGTAATATGATCATTACTCTGAAAAAACTTATACCTGGAAAAGTAAGAATAAAATATTTACATTAGAATTGAAAACATGTTGGGAAGATATAATCAGTTGATCAGTTATCAATAAACATAACAAAAGTACTGTAAGATTATCCCTGAATTAGGTTAAAATTCAGTAGTCTATAAATAAAGTTAAATTTATTCTGGGAAAGAAACAGTAAATGCTATCTTTGTTTATTTTAAATCTATTGGACTATTTAAATCTGTTGAATTATTACTTATAAAATTTACATTGTATGAAGACAATTTCTAAGGAGAGGTTATTTCATAATTGTGCAATGATAGGACATTTTGTAGAATGTCAAACCTGACCTGCTGGTATTCATTTCCAAGCTGACCTTACAAAAGTCATGTTATTCATTGAGTCCTTTTATGCCTTCTGTTTTTTATTAGTTAGAAGACTGCTTGATTACTTAGTGTTCTGACCCCACTTGTTTTTCTGACTTTTTAAAGAAATAAAACAATCTTTTTTAATTATCCAGGATTCAGTCCCTTTTTACTTCTGTAAATGATCTGCCACATTAAAAGTTGTCTAACTACCTTATCAGTACCATAATTTCCTCAGTTTTTGATGAGAAAATAATTTTTCCTCTTCTGCGGGTTTTTTTTTCTTGATTAAAATATATTGCTAAAGTATTTTTTTCTTTTGTGTTTTTGTAGCCAACTGTATCAATTCTATTGACTTCCTGCTGTTTTCTCATCAGGTATAGACTTTGCAATCTCCAGAAGGGGTTTAAAAAAAAAATGAGAACTTCTTGATCATATATTTTCCGTTTCCAGTGTTCCGCGCCACATCCTTTATTCTTTTTCAGTTATTTCTGGTACCATGTTTTCTTAGCTGTATCCTAGGTTTGGAAATACTCCCTTATTCATTAAAACAAACCACTGAAGTTAGGACTTTGTGACTCAAAAAAGATATTTTAATTGGGACTTTTTTTTGACCATCTTAAATTTTTGTTCGGGCATTCAGATTGAATGTATTAGGCTTTTGCATGTTTTCAGTCCATGTATTACTTATTTGACTTTACTGTCTTGTTAAGTATTGTGATTCACTAATAAGTTGGTGCCTGATTTATGCAGCTAATTTTTTTATGTCTCTCCTGACATGTTCACATGTATCCTTATTTAGCTTATAATGGATAGCTCTGTTTTACCTTCGTCTAGGGTTATTTCGAGTGCTTTTCCAAGCATGATTTTGGTAGCATTTTTCTATTACAGAATAACTTCCAAGTCCTTTTTGCAGACTGTTTTAGATCAGTCTTTCTCATACTGCCCTAAAAATATATAAATAACTACTAACTTTGCCCAGGTTTCACTTTTCTTTCTTTCTTTTTTTATTTTTTCTCATTTTTATTGTTTGATTTACTGTCTGAATTTCTGTCATATAATAATAGGTGCTTGGTAAATAGTTGAATTAAATGATGTTAAATAATTATTAGAAGGACTTAGTGTAATTCTTTTACTTGAGTAAAAATTCTTTTACTTCCTAGCACATTGATTTTGTTCCATGGTTGCTAAAACATACTGATTTACAGAGAAAGAATTAATAAAGAATAGTTCCTTTAAAATTTAGCTTTCTTGATAGGGCTTGTGACACATGGCACATTTAATCATTAGACTTGGATCTATCTATAACTTCTCCCTGGTCTGAATGTTATTCTATATATGAACCTATGCTCAATTTTCTATTGAAATACTAAATAGTTTTAGATTCTTCTCTTTCCTAAGTACACTGATCTCAGTTGACTTTTTTTTTACCATTATCATCAACTTATTAATTGTCATGTATCAGATTAACTAGCTATTCTTATGACACATCAGTGTTTAAACAACAGAAGCTATGGCCACTCTGCACAAACATATGCTTTTGGAAGCTGTCATTTGATTAAAGACTTAAGAGATTATATAGGCTAAACAGGTTGCTGGTCTGGTAGAGCACCCAGTTATCTACAGCTGAAGAAAACAAACTTGATTTTAGAAGTGTATTCATTGAGATAGTACTTCTCTTTACTGAATACCAAAGTTTAAAGGTTTCTGTATAAAGTTATGACCACTTGAATTGTTCAGCATAATAATTGTGTGACAGTCTTATGATAACAATGATTTCATCCTATTAAGATATATCATTATAAGTTAAAGAGAACAGGCATCTCTTTTCATTAGAATTTCATATGATACCAGGGCGACACTTGACTGGTCTTTTTTGTTTATAATGTATTATCTTTTCTGTCACTGGTAAGAACATTTGTTATTATGTATACAAGAACTCAGATACTTAAGAAGCCATATGTGAGCCACAATTTTGATTTTTATTTTCATCAGATATTTTTTGACAGAGCTTGTAGTACTTAAGTGTTAAAGTGCTTTTCACTTAAATGTAATGTATTTCTTAGAATCCTCTTATTCCTAGGCCTCATAGTTTTGTGTATTTTAACGAGGCTGAAGTGTTAGTTATTTATAGGAAAATGAACAAATGACATTTGAACAAACATTTATTTAGGGCCAAATTAATGTGTCAGGTATTATGCTAGACCCTGGGCTGTAGGGAAGAAAGATGGATGTCACCATTTCCCTTTATTGGAGGAGCTCACAGCCTAGCTACTATTTTTATAGACCTGTAAATAATTAAAATGCAGTGTACGTGGTAGAGGAAAACTATGTGTTAAATGCTGTGGAGGCATGGAAAAGGTTTCAGCTATAATCCTAGACTGTCTTGGAAGGCTGCTTGCTCCAAGGATGTAGCTTTTGCGTTAGTCCTGATCGTGCATGTGACAATATCTTTTAAAATTAGAAAGCACTGTAAGTAGACTGTCTTCTAATGAAAATAAAATTCATTTAAAATGTTAAATATTCTCCCTTTATTGTTAAATTGGTGCTTGGAAAATACAGTGGCTTAAAAGGGGAAGAAAAGGAAACTTTACTTTGCACTTTCCATTGTTGGAAAGTGTATTTTTTTGTCTCAGAAGGCGTTTGAGTTGAGCCCATATATGTTGCCCTTAAAATTTCAGTTCTTAACTGTACATCCTGCAGCATTCATTGGGAATGTTTAAATAGCTGAGGAACTGCCCTAATAATATTGAAGTTTTGCTTTACTTCATCAGTTAAATCTGTGTTTGCATATTATTCCACTTAACTCTTTAAAAATATATTAAAAGTTCTGACATGAAATTTGTAATCTTTGCAAGTCCATCTATATAATTTATTATAAAAGAGCACCCTATTTTATTTATTTAAAAAATTATTATAATTGCATAAAGTAGTAATAGAAATATGTGTGTGACTATATATAATTATTGCAGATCTTACATACAAAGCCAAACCAAGATTTTTGTTGCTTGTTTTCTGTAATCATTTTTGTTTCTTATGAATAAATGCCTTATGTGAGCTTTTTTCTTTCTAAAAACTGACTTTTACAAATGGTAATTACAATAGCAATAACCATAAATGAAACTTGCATATGTAATTATTCAAACAAATTCCCAGAAAGGTACTGAACTTAAATAATAAAATATGTAAATTAGGACTACAGACTTCTGAAATCTAGTTGTTGGAAGTCTTACCATGCCATCTTTTTAAGAACATATAGCAATACAGATTTATTTGCAGTTTGGCGTTTCTCTTTTTAAAATAATATATATTAGTGTATCATGATTTGTGATATACGACTATTTTACTGAATATTTTATTTTGTACTAATAGGATCTACAACTAGAATATGGACAAGGACACCAAGGTAGTTACTTTTTAGGTGGAAACAAGTAAGTAAAGTTTTTTCAAAATTTAAATTTAAGAATAATTAAGTTGCCTTAAAATATTGTGTTTTAATATTTACAGTAATAAATTGTATTAGTCTGATAGATACATTTTACAATATACTGTAACCTTTTTTCATTGCTACCTTGCTAATCATTTAGTCAGTAATTGTTTATAGTAGGGACAGTCACTTTAAGATTTTTAATGTCAAGCTACTTTGTAGACCTTACGTGTGAGAGAAAACTAAGTATATAAATATATGCTTCAGCAATTTATATATTTTATTTGTAATGTTGACCTGTTTATTCCTTACAAAACTTGCTTTGGTATATCTCCCAGATGTGTTGGCCTCTGAAAACAGCTGGAAATAGTCACACTATTTAGAAACCTTAATTATTTAGCTGGTAAGAGTCTTTTAAAAAGTGAATAGTAGTTAAAATGTATCTGAAGTCTTAAAAGTTATCAATTCATGCCAGAAATAAATCCAACAATTATTCAATGCCTGTGTACAGTGGTGAAAAGACAGCTTTGCAAGGTGTAAGATATTTTGAAGTATTTTTTATGTTATGTTGTCTAAATTTGAGGTAGTGGTGTTAAGGACTTTGTTCACAAATTTTGGTATATTTTAAGAGACTGGCTAATTTGGAAAAATATTTCATTTTCCTTCTTTTGGTTCATTTTAAATGTATTTTTAAATGATATACTTGCAAAAATAGCCCATCACTAAATGCCTTTCCAGATTCTGTAGTTCCCATTGTCTAATTTCTGACTTTTAGACATTTTCATAGTATATGGTTATTTCGGCTAGGTAAAATGTTAATAATTTGCCCAACCTTCATTTTTTGATTAATTGGATCCCTGCTTAAGGAACTGTATTCTATATAACGAATCATTGGCAAGGTAGGTTGGCCAAAAGTTTGACCTTTGGCTGTGTTTCGTGTACAGGTATATACATACATGTGACATGAGCATGGATGTAGCACTTCTCTTACTGTACTGATATGTCTGCTTTATTCTTGTGATTAGGCATTGTTTTAAAACTCACAGGATTTCCTGCTTTCTCCATAGGTGATCAGGCAGACAGATTTCCATTTATGGGTTTCTACCTATTCCAGACCAGGCAGAAACTATCTAAGATAGTTTTTTGTGTGTGTGGTTTTTTTAATGAATGCATATGTATTTTGACTTATTCAGTATTTTCTTTCTTTTTTTTTTTTGAATTCTGTTATTACTGGGGTCAACCTTTCTGACCATTTAAAACCAACAAAATATTATTTTTAAAAGAAAACTCTAAATTCTGATTTTGTTTTTAATGTAGACTAAAAATTCGGCAGATAAATTCTCTTCTAAAGACCTAAATAATAGTGAAAAGAATAAATTGAATTACACAATTCCTGGAACCGTTGTGTATAGTAGTAGTAGATGCCAGAACTGTCTCTTTCTGTAAGCTACGAGACTTTGAGAAATTCACCTCAATTTCTCTAGTAAGATCGGAATTATAATACTACATTACACGCCCATACATAGGGCATAAAGGGTGAAATAATCATTGTAAAGCATTTAGCACATTCAGTGTTTAGTAAATACTTACTGGTTACCCTTATTTGTAGCATTTATTCATTAAATAACTGCTGACTGTAAGAGAAAGTGAATAAAACTGCTGTTTGGTATTAAAGAAATAGGGAGGTTTTTTGTTTTGTTTTCAAATATAATCGGGGAAGTACTTGCAGAGTATTTTGATCCAGTTAGGCAATTTTGAAAGATTTTAGTAACCAGTAGCATGAATTCCTTATCTAATTCAAATATGCTAAATATTTTGGCAGTGTTTTTGGTTTTTTTTTAATTCTATGGGGGAGGAGAAGAGCACTGGGGAATCGGGGAAGGGGAACAGACAAGTTGCTGTCCTTTTGTTCTTCAGTTTAGTTGTGGAGGATGTCGCTTCACTGGCCTATGTTGGTATTGTGATCATTGCGCTCTTCCCGGGTGAGGCAGATTGGTCGCCAGTCACTGGGCGGCCGCTCACAGCGGCTCTTGGCAGCTCACAATGGCGCCAGCCATTCACGGTATCTTCTGGTATCCCACTACAGCCCCACTGCAGCCTACGCCATCGCCAGTGACTCATGGAAGCCCAGCTCCAGGTCGAGCTGTTGTTCACCATCTTAGCTGTAGAGGGTGCAGTGTCACTGGCCCTCAGGTGGGATCTGAACCAGGGCCCTGCTGCTCAGAGCTGGCATCCCAAGCCAACTCTTAACCAGCGCGTCACTTGGCCGGCCCAGCAGTGGTTTTTTTACTTCTCTCAATTTCAATCTTTACTTCATCAGTTAAATCTGTGTTTGCATATTATTCCACTTTTAGCCTTATACAAATTTCCTAGTCATTTTAGGTAGACTAAATAATTTAGTATCTGACAGCATCATTTTTGTTTTGTTCATTACTTTCTAAAAGTTTCATAATAGAAGAATCCAAAATCCAAATGGACTAGCGAATAGTGACATTGTTTATTGTATAGACATTGTTTATTGTATAGCACCCAATCTTGGTGATTAAATAAATCAGTATCACATTTTTCTCCAGTGCTCTCAAGATACAGTATTTACTATAAATGGCTCTTTCAGAAAGGTTAGCCATGTTTCATTTTCTCTTTTACAAAGCCTGAAAAGCAAATCATATATTCTACTTTTCATTAAGAGTTAATGAACTCTTTAACTTTATTAACAAAAAAGTCAAGACAGAGTAGGAGAGTTATAAGTAAAGGAAAAAAAATAATGTATGAGTCCTTAGCCATAGGCTAGCTAGCTGCTTTTCCATGTTCTTATTCAGCCTTCTCTCTTATTCTTAAAGTAGAATGCCATATAAGTCCAATTAAATACAGTAACTGAAAATAAACTACATTTAAATTCTCTTAATTATTTTTAAATCAATATTCTCTGCTGGAAAAAGAAATGCCTCAAAAATATTATATGCTTAAGAAAACATTTTTTTCATGTTTTCTAAAATGATATAAAAGCCCACTGTACAGTTCAAAGATATTATGTTTAATTTGATAGAATAATTTAAAGCAGCACATCTTAAAATATTTAGTCTCAGGCTGTCTTTACAGTCTTAAAAATTATTGAGGACCCCAGTGAGTTTTTGTTTATATGGGTTATAGCTATCTATATTTATAGCATAAGAAATTTAAACTGAGTACTTTTCAAAAATTTTTTTGAGTAATTTATATAAAATAGTAAATACACTCAATACATGTTATCATAAATAAATTTTTGTGTATTAAGACTTTTTCATCATTAAGGACCAATTCAAATGCCTCCTCTTTATGGCTCCTTCCTTGTAACACCACTTGATTCCTCTTGTGAGGCTTTAAAACAGCAGATAATTGCAAGAAAAGGCTTTATACAGGTCAGTGTATTAAAGCAAACTTTTTGTTGAGTCCCAGTAGTAACATTTTTTGTGAAGAATAGCTCTTTTCTGAAACAAAATAATATTAGTAAGAAAAGGACATTGTTTTGTTTTATTTTATTATTTTATTTTATTTTTGCAAATCTCTTTAATACCTGGCTTAATAGAAGACAGCTGGTTTCTCATGTCTGCTACTAACCTGTTGTAGCATCATGCATCTTATAGCCTGGAAATCTCTAGAGTTTCATTCTCAGTGAAAAAATAAGAGTGGAAAGGTAAATGCATTAGTATTATGAAAATAGTTTTGAACTTGTAGACCTCCTACAGGAGACTGAGAGACACCCCCCCCCAGGATCCTCAGACCACATTTTGAGAATACCTAGTTTAAAGAAATGTTGTAGTCAATAATAAAACACTAATTGAGTACTTACTATGTTCTAAATTCCTATTCTAAGCATTTTACCTGTGTTAATTCATTGTATCTTCAGATAAACACTTTGACATACATACTATTATAATTCCCGTTTTACTGATATGGAAATTGAAGCACAGGGAAATCAAAGGAACTTATTGAAGACCACATAGCTTACAATGGCAGCGGCAGGTTGAATTAAGGGCTCTCTTAGCTTCACAACCTCTCATTTTGCTAAACTGCTTGTAGGCAAAAACTCCTACCTTCCTAAAGGTAGCCCTGGGATAGCTTTGTCAATAAGATAATACGTTTGACTGAAGTACCTCAGTTTTTTTATCTGCAAAATAAGGATTTGCAATTAGTTTACAGTTTTCTGATGTCTTTTACTGCCCCAGATTTAGAACTTTGTCATTTTTAATACTTAGATTGTTATTAAGCTGGCTTAATTAAAATTTGATGGCTAAAATTTATTCTACTAATATAGTCTATTAATACCAGCTAACCGTACCTTGCCGTTTTTTTGGTTTTATGTTTTGATAATCCTAAGGGCAGTTTTTTCCAATATATATAGGAGGGGGAAATGACTAGAAGATACTGCCTTTCAGCTTTTGATGAGAGTAAATTTTCTGCTGAATCACTTTTACCTCAGTCATCTATCAGTGACCATATTTCTCTCTATCCCATTAGCTATTGAGTTTTTGTTCTGGAAGAGTCTAATAGAGGAGGTATGCTGCATGAACTTGCAGTGAAAAGAAATAAGGGAACTTCAGGAATGTCATGAGGTCTCTTTTATATTCCTGAATATCAAAGCTTTATAAATTGCTCCTACTGATAAAATCCTCACACCTGGTCTGATACAGGCTTAGTCTCCCAAAAGTGTAAATGTGTTTGCCAGTACACCCCTGGAGAACAGATCCTTCAGGTAAGTGAGTGTCTTCTGTGAAAGCAAAGTGCTACTACATTCATGTATTCACATCACATGCATGCATGCTTTTGCAGAGAGATCCAACATGTTGAGTTTCATTTCGTAGGATTGCCTGAGAGCATGATTTTTAAAAAGTGTGTCACCTTCCTTATTTTAAGAAAAAATATATATATAATTTCAGGTGTCAGGTAACTATTCCAGGTAAAACCTGAATCCTGGAAACCCCTGACTATGACCCTGCAATTATTGTTTTGTCAGTCCTATTGTGACATTTCATGGTGGGTTGTCCTCTGTTTGAATTGGTATTTTTTAGTAAATATTAGGATTTATTTTGCTCATTTAGAATACATGTATAAAGACATTAGTAACAGAAAATAGAGATAGCTCATTAAGTAAAACTTGATGTTTTATGGTATAAAGATGATCATTATAGCAAACTTTGAGTAAATAATAAAAAAGTAATTTAATGTATGGGTTAGGTTAAAGTGATGTAAATATGTACTTATCGCTTATTTATTCACTATTCTTTCCTTTTAGGAGTCTTCTAAAGTCTGTTGAAGAAGAATTACATCAGCGGTAATTTTAATTTTTAATTAAGATTAAAATACTTTATGTCACAGGTAAAATCTGTTTGCTCCCATATCTGTCATGTAACATAAGATTATTTTGTTGTTATTGTTGTTTTAATTCTGAATTCTGTAAAGGTAGGGAAATAAAATTCTGCCTTGCAGTAGCCCTTCTTGCGTTTTCTAAAATTTCTCCTTAAGCTGTTTTTGGTAAAGTTCGTTTAGTGACAATGGAATTATCCTTCTTTATCTTTAGAGGACATGTGGCACATTTAGAAGATGATGAAGGGGATGATGATGAATCTAAACAGTAAGTTCTGTTTCTGTTTTTGGTAAAAGAAAAAGTGTCATTTTGACCTGATTTCATAAGTTTGACAGCTTAATATTGACAGTAATTTTTAATATCATTAGTAACTTAGTATCATGGGTTCTAACACCATTTCTTTCCTTTTTTCTGTTCTCATTTTATTAGTCAGCTCAGTCATCCTTAACAAAGTACCATTGACTGGTGGTTTAAACAACAGAATGTATCTCTCACACTTCTGGAAGCCAAGAAATTTAAGCTCAAGCTACTAGCCAGTTTAGTTCCTGGTGAGAGCTCTCTCCCAGACTTGCAGATAGCTGCCTTCTCTCTATGTCCTCAAATAGACTTTCTTCAGTATGTGTATGCAGAGAGCGAAATCGCTCTCCTCTTGTTATAAAGCCTCTAATCCTATTTGATTAGGACTTTACTCTTAAGACCTCAGTTAACCTTCATTACCTCCCAAAAGCACTATCTCCAAATACAATCACATTGGAATTAGGATTTCATCATACAAATTTTGAGGGGACACAGTTCGGTCCACAGCAATTTGCCCATGGTCCCCCAAAATTTATGTCCTTGACACATGCCAAATACAGTCTCTCAGCAGCCCTAAAAATCTTAACTCTTTCCAACATCAATTCTATAAAGTCAAAGACTTACCTAAATATAATAAATCAATCTGACTTAGATCTGATGATCTGTGGATCACCTTCAGGGTCATTTTTCCTTCTTGAAATCCAAGGAGGCCGGCAGCCTGCCTTCATTCTCTCTTGTCTCCATCCTCTTCAGTTCAAACTGCCCATGTTTGGGCTGGTATAATCCCATAAATTCTTTACTGAGTGATAGTCCAGCCACACCTGTCGTGTTCTCTTCAGAACATGCTTTCTCATGCCATCCATGTTTGAGCTAATATGGATAGGCTGAGAACTCTTCAAATTTCAAGTTCTGGTTCCTTTTTGCTTAACAACTCCTTCTTCAGTTTATCTTCTTTCATTGTATTATAAGCAGTCAGAAAGAACCAAACCCCTTCTTCAGCACATGCTTAGAAATCTCCTCAGCTAAATACCCTTGAAAGTTTTACCTTCCACAGAACACTAGAACCTGAACACAATTCAGCCAAGTTCTTTGCCCCTTTATAACAAGGACCGCCTTTCCTTCAGTTTCCAGTAACATGTTCATCGTTTCCATCTAAGACCTCACCAGAATGGCCTTTAATGTCCATATTTCTGCCACCATCCTGTTGATGATTATTTATGTATTCTTCTAGAAGATGAAAATTCCTCACCAGCTCTCCTCTTTCTGACCCCTCACCAGAATCACTCTTCATGTCCATATTTCTAGCATGTACCTCAAAACTCTTTCAGCTTCTACCCATTTCCAAAACTGCCTCCATATTTTTAGATATCTGTTACATCAGCACCCCACTTGTTGGTACCAAAATCTGTCCTAGCTCAAGCTGCCATAAAAAATTTAGAGTGAGTGGCTTGAACAACAGAAATTTGTCACAGCTCTGAAGGGTGGGATGTTGAAGATAAAGTGCCCGCTGATTCAATTCCCAGTGAGGACCCTCTTCTTGGTCCATAGCACAAGATGGTAACAAAGAACTTTGAAAAAAAAACTAGTTAACAAAGACAGTAAATATATCTTGTAGTTTAATATCATAAATTGGTAATTGATAGCTGCTGTAATTATTACTACAGCTGCAAAGAGGCTTGTTATATGGTTTATTAAATTTCATCTGATGTATTTCAAATAAACAAATACTTTGGATATAAATGTAGTATTTTTAAAGACGGAATATTTTCACTTATGTAAGCATTGATAATGTAGTTCTATTTTTTTTTTTTTTTTTAAGAAAGATACAATTTATGGTAGAGTGACTAGAGCACCTAACCCTTTGGAGTCATAGGTTTTCCTTTCTGTCTTACTACTCTGTGACTTTGGATCAGGTCACTTAATCTCTCTGGGCCTCAATTTCCTCATCTGAGAATTTATTCTCTATCATCTTTTAATTTTTTATAAATTTTTTAAAAACTCCAATCCTAGGTTGTAATGAATCTTAGCTTCAATCAAATCAATTCTGCCTATAATTTCATAGAGGATTTAGTTAGCTTTTGATGAACTTCATCAGAGATATTTCATATCTAACAGTAAAAATGTGTATATTACATTGTGATATTTTTATGCTATATCATTTTGCTGTTTTTCCCCAAACCAATTTTTACATTTTTATATTAATTACCTTTCCATTGATATAAGCTGGAATTATAGTTATCGTTTCCAGTTTTAATTACTATGTAATACTTGTAACCAGGAAAGCATATCTTCTCAATTACTTCTGAATAATACTTCATTCAACATAACTTGAGCATTTCATGGAACATTTTGGAAAACACTCATAAACTTAGAAAAAGGAACTTGTGTATGCAAGTTTTTCTTACATAACTTTGAAAAATTAATTGTATTTTAATAATGACTTATTTGCAAAATGAAGAGTTCTAATTCTAAACTTTTATATTTTTATAGCTCAACAATGAAAGCAAAAGTTCCACCTCCTTTGCCACCAAAGGTAGACAGATTTGTTTTTCAATTTGAATTATGCGTGTCATTGTTCTGCCCTTTAATATTGTATTAATAGTTATTCTGTAGCTTATTTTCACTTGGGATCCACAAAGAAACTTCATGAAGAAGTTACTAATGTAGATGATTGTGGTTATTTTTATTTGTCTTTTTTTAGTTATCTAATGTGTCATTTATTGTTTTTTCTAAATAAGTTATAGAAATTTGTACATGAAAGTGATTATATTAATGGATTAGTATAATTTCACTTGGATTAGAAAACTCACATTTTTTTTTTTTTTACTTTTTTTTTTTTTTTTAGCTGAGCCATCCTGCCACCTGTTGGCAGCTCAGCTCGAGCTGGACTCAAACCGCTGTTGCTCAGAGCTCAAACCCTTGAGCAAGCTCTTAACCAACTGAGCCACTCGGCCGGCCCTCAAATATTTTTATAAGATTTTTATTCCTCACACTATACAATCTACTAACTGATTTCCTGAGAATGGGTAAAGAATAAAGATTTATCATCACAGGTATTTAATTTTCAGAAGGTACTTTTAAATTCAAAATATAAAATAGGTCAGTAATTTTCAATTTTTTAATCAATTAAATCCTTTTGCCAAACAAAGGCGTCATAAAATAATTCTAACCAGATGGATTTTATTTATGTGTTTATTTATTTTAGGTAAAATGAGTTAATATAGATAGCGGTAATATAAATGTTGTTATAAACTTATTTTTATAAGCTTATATACATAGCACATTTTTAATTATAAAATAAACTTTATAAAATGAGCTATTAATGAGGTTTGAATTAAAGGGTTATAAATGAGAATTGGAGTCTGACCAGTCTTGGCATCCAATATATTGCTATATTTTGTTTTCATTTTGTACTTTTGAGAAAATCATGATTCACATAGGTAAATAATACTGTACTTGCTTGTTTAGTTTTATATTAGCAAAAATATAGAGATCTGAATTTCAAAGAGACAACTGCTGAGTAATCTTCCTAATAAGGAACACATTTATAAATTCTCCAAACCTTCTGTTTTTCATTGTCTAAAGATAAAGTGTCTCAGGCATCTTCTATTGCTGTGTTAGTATTGTCTGTGATGTTAAAATTTTTTTTTTTAATTGGGGAATTGGGGGAGGGGAACAGCGCTGGGGAATCAGGGAATGGGAACAGACAAGTTGCTGTTCTTTTGTTCTTCAGTCTAGTTGTGGAGGACGTTGCTTCACTCGTCCATGTTGGTATTATCATTACGCTCTTCCCGGGTGAGGCAGATTGGTTGCCGGTCACTGGACAGCCGCTCACAGCGGCTCTTGGCAGCTCATGCAGGCTGCCGGCCGCTCATGCTGGCTGCCAGCCATTCACGGTTGCTCACAGCAGCCCACTGCAGCCTACACCTTCGCCAGCGACTCATGGCAGCCCAGCTCCAGGTTGAGCTGTTGTTCACCATCTTAGCTGTAGATGGTGCAGCATCACTGGCCCTCATGTGGGATCCAAACTGAGGCCCTCCTGCTCAGAGCTGGCATCCCAAGCCTACTCTTAACCAACGAACCACTCGGCCGGCCCGATGATGTTAAAATTTTAATTGGTGTCGTCTCCTGCCCCAGTCTGAAAGATTAAGCATTACATAAAAGACATGGAGTCATTGAAAAGAGATAGTTTAGATTAGCCTTGTAGGAGCTGAACTTCAATTAGCCTGAATGTTCAAAATAAAAAAATACTCATTAAGTTGGAGATCAGAAAGACCAGAATATTTTTATTTGGCAAATCTAAGTAGGAAGGCTTGTGAGGAATTAATAGAAGGAGGCCTTTTTTTCCCCCCCTGAGAAAACATTTTCGTGTACAATTTTAGGATATTTATTAACATAATCAGAATCAGATGGTTGAATAACCTTGAGACTCTGCTAGTAAACACAGTTTGAAAAGCCTCTGATATATAATAATATTTACTTCAAGAAAAATATTTAATATTTTTTATGTTTAGCAAAACATGAATAATGCTTAATCATTGGTCTCCGTTTCTGTATTATTTCAGCCTAAGTCCATATTCATACCACAAGAAAGTCATTCTACCGAGGATGATAATCAAGGAACAATCAAAAGATGTCCCATGTCAGAGAGCCCAGCAAAACCATCCCAAGTCCCGCCTAGACCACCACCTCCCAGATTACCTCCACAGAAGCCGATTGCTTTAGGTAATGGGGAAGAGAGGCTGAAATCAGTGTTACCAGGTTTTCATACTGTGTAAAAAAAAAAATGGAGGGAATCTTTCTTTTAAGACAATACGTGAAATTCCTTTGAGGAGGGAAAAAGGAAGACAATGTATTCTATAGAGATGTGTTCTGCTTTTTGCCTCATAGTTTGACATATTTTTATGACAGGATTACCTATGACCCAGTCTGGGATATTTTGCCCCTTGTTTCTCATTTCATACCTAGCGTTCGCTCTTTTGGAGAATTGTTTATGCCCAGTTCAACATTTATCTATAGTTTGGCAACAAAAGAAATTAAACTCTAAACAAACAAAATGTGTTTTGGTTCTAGGCTGCTTCTGTTTTAGAAAAACAGAGTACTTTTGTCTAACATTTTTATTTCATTTAATCATTTGAAAAATAATTGTCACTATTTGCTCAGTATTTGTCTACAAATTAATACTAGAGGATGCTATTTTAATGTAAGTTTCTTATGTATGATGCAGAAAAAGCAATTAAAAAAAGAGCGACAAGTTTATTGGATAACATACTATATAAATTGTTCCTTTACTGAGTAGTTATGTATTCAGTATTTCTTTTTTGTCTTTTTAACACAAATATATGTGCTTAAATACCTTGAATTTAAGTTTGCCTGTATGAAAGATAAAAAGCGATATAAGTAGAAGAACATATGTGTAATTGCGACTCATTTCAGTACTAAATATCCTGATGGGGTGACCCCTAATGAAGGTGAAACTGTCTCAGAGATAATATTTTTCTTTCCTACTTGATAATTTCTGAATGAAAAATCTTTGTGAGAATTAATCCTTTTTTAATATATTTAAACCTGTCTTATTGAAGGAAATGGAGTGGGCTCCTTCCAGTTAAATGGTGAACGAGACGGTTCATTATATCAACAACAGAACGAACATAGAGGCACAAACCTTTCAAGGAAAGAAAAGAAAGATGTACCTGTAGGTATTTATATTCATAAGGCCTACTTATATTTGTTAACTTTTTTACTATGAGGTTAGTTTTGTAATTATAATTAGTGAAACTATAGCAATTGTAGATATTACAATTACTGTACTGGTATTTTAGTGTATTAATTATAATGACAATGGATTGTTTAAATCTTGAAAAAAAGTAACTTTAATATGGCAAACTTGGATGGCTTTCTGTTCAAATCATTTAGACCAATTTGATACATAGTTTATTATAAAATGTGATCAGCACACAGGTAAACAGTATTCTTGTTGAGAAAATAACTATTGTTATTCTCATTGATGAGAACTGATTCTTAAAAGTTCCTTTTACAACCTCAAGAAGTTTAGAAAAGAAGGGTATGGGCAGATAAAAAAAGCTATAGCTTCTACCCTAGGATAAATTTCTAACTGTAGATTTTGCAGTTTCTGATATTACTACTTTTACTCAGAATAGCTAACAAGAAGGAAAAACGAAAATTATTTTTAGTAGATAAAAGATATCACAAGAAAGATGAAATTAGCCATAGTAGCTATTTTTGTTAGAATTGTTAGATAATACACTATGGCATAACTATTAAAACATAAATAGCATTTATCACGGAGATTAAAAAAGTGTTAGCATTTGTAAGGAATTTATTATTAATCATCAGAAGGCATTTGTCTGTCGTCATAGAACTTTAAAAAACAAAACATCCCTAAAATCCCAATTCAGCGGATGCCAGTGAAATCATGAGATGAGAATATTTTTGAAGTTTTTGTGTATATTAATTGTGAGTTTTATGGAAATTAATAGTACATTTAATATGTTTATGTGCGTAATAGCTATGGTTTTGCACACTAAGCATTGTTAGAGGCTCTTTATGAAATTTATGAAAATTTATGAAATTTATGACATTTTTAACAAAATTGTAAAATGCCCTTCAGAAATGGGTTTTATGAAGTCTGTTCAACTGAGCAATAGTGCCTTTTTGCTTTCATCAGTTTCGATTTTAGCAGCGTTGCTAATGTAGTGGTACAAAAATGCAGCTTAATGACTCCAAAACAGTATAATAACCTTTGAGAGATATATGTTATTTTATGTATGCATTTTTTTTTTTTTTTAAGCTGAGCCATCCTGCCACCTATTGGCAGCTCAGCTCGGGCCGGGCATCAAACTGCTGTTGCTCAGAGCTCACAATCTTGAGCGAGCTTTTAACCAACTGAGCCACTCGGCTGGCCCTATGTATGCATTTTTAATTCACTTTTTCTGTTACCTTAATTCACTAGGATATGGAACTACTAGTTAAACTAACAGTCTTAATAATTCTGAAATATATGTCCATGACTGTATCATAGGATAAACAGTATCCATAATATACTGAAACATGATTACAGTTTGTGCAGCTTCTTGAAATTATTTACAGCCAATTCCTTCAGTACTTAAATTAAATCTAAGTTATAACATTCAGGACTCCATAATTAAAAATGATGTTTTTTCTGAAATGGATGATAGAAAATAATTTAAGAACATAAATATAAAAATAAGTACATAAATTATTTGCCAATTGGAGAAAATTATCAGAAATTGGTGACAATAATAGGCTGTACCTCCTCAATAACATATCTACAAAGTAAATTTTATAGTCAATTTTATTACTCATATAAGTAGTACTACACAGAGTATTTGTATCATGTATATGGAATCAATTACCAGTAGTTTTTAGTTAATTTTTATCACATCACTTAAATAATTCTGATTTATATCAGATGGAAAAAAATTATAACATTTTTTCTTAAAAAGTTGTTATTAATATTAACCTCGAAAGAAATCTAGACTGTCATAAAGTTTATATTTAAAATATAGTCTCTCCCGAGGAGATTCCTTCTCCGAGGGACAAATCGTATACCCCAGGAAGGTAGCTCTTTGGAAAAATGTCTGGTATTCTTGAGAATATTGTAGGTGAGCAAATGTGTTGTTTTTGCCCTTCTTCTAATTGTCACTATATTCTCCCAAATGAGTAATATATTTAAATCCATCAAAATTTAAAACTTCAATTGATAAAACATATGGTAAACAAAGTTAAGATAATTTATAGACTAGGAGAACACATTGGTAACATATATAACAAATAGAATATTCAAATCTAGATTACATAAAGAACTCCAACAAATAGATAAGAAAAAGATAACTTGGTAAAAATGAAAAAACAATTCACAGAAGAGGAAATACAGATAGCAGTAAACTTTTTTAATTTTTTTTTATAGTTTCTCAACCTTCCTAGCAATCGGAGGCATTCAGTTTAATGAGAAGACATTTTTTACTTATCAATTTGATGACATTAAGTGTCTGAGACGATAAGGAACCGGGACTCTCATATATTGCTGATGGGTGTGATGTGATATGGGCACTCTGAAAGACATTTTGGCAGTCAGTATCCACTAAAATGTAAAATGTTCCAGTAGTTTGATTTCTCACAGTGTACCTTGAACCATTCACACATTACATAGTAGGATATATACTCAGGGGTGATCATTTCTGCATTGTTGTTACAGTAAAAAATTGAAAATAACCTAAATACCCAATAACAATTATGGAATAGCTAAATAAAGGATGTTATAGGCATACTGTGCTGCAGTTAAAACAAATGAACCAGATCTATATGTATTGAAATTAAATGTTGTCCAAGACAATATTAAGGTGAAGAACAAGTTGCTTAATAATGCATAACTGTTATATTCTAACACACAAAAATTGTTTTCTGTGGAGACATGTATATAAATATATACTAAAAGGCTGGGAAGGATATACAAATATATGAGTGCATATAACCATCTAGAGAGATTTGGAAGGGTATATACTAAACATGGTTTTTGGGGTGTGGCAGGTACTAGGAATAAGTGGACTGAAGAAGGGTTATAGGGACCTTATCTGAAATGTCTTTTTTTTTTTTTTAAGATTTTTATTGGGGAATTGGGGGATGGGAACAGCACTGGGGAATTGGAGGGGAACAGACAAGTTGCTGTCCTTTTGTTCTTTAGTCTAGTTGTGGAGAACGTTGCTTCACTGGCCCAAGTTGGTACCATCATTGTGCTCTTCTTGGGCGAGGCAGATCAGTCACCGGCTTCTGGATGCCACTCACAGTGGCTGCTGGCTGCTCACGCTGGCTGCTGGCCGCTCATGCTGGCTGCTGGCCGCTCATGCTGGCTGCTGGCTACACACAGTAGCCCATGGCAACCCACTGCAGCAGTGGCTGCAGCCTACGTGACTCATGGCAGCCCAGCTCCAGGTTGAGCTGTTGTTCAGCATCTTAGCTATAGAGGGCAGTGTCACTGGCCCTCATATGTGGGATCCGAACCGGTGCCCTCTGGCGTCCCAAGCCAGCTCTTAACCACCGCACCACTCGGCCGGCCCTGAAATATCCTGTTTTACAAAAGAATGTATTCGTGTATTTTATTCTAATACATGTGTTTGAAATACAATATTGTTACACCAAACAGCAACAAAAGAAGTGTAATTATGCATATGTTCTTTTCTAGAAGCCTATTAGTAACGGTCTACCCCCAACACCTAAAGTCCATGTAAGTATAAATATCAAATAGGTTAAGTTTCCAAACGAAATACGATTGCTCGTATGTATACCTTTAGTTAGATTGTTTGCCTATTTGCAAGAACCTCCATTATTACTGAAAAAATCTATAAGATTGCTAATTATTGATTACATCTGAAAAGTGGCTTTTCAAAGTAAAATTATGATAAATTATACATTTTAAAGCTCCTTTATTACAAAATTTGTTAATATATTCTTTACAGATACTCTTGAAATGTGGAAAAAGCACATGGATGTAATAGGAAGTACAAAATATAGATACAACACATTTTTTTCTAATATGTTTTCTGTTATCAAAAACAGAATTTTAGAACTAGTAGGAACATTGGAATAGCATCTGGCCCAAACTCTACTTTTCCCATGAGTACATCTGAGACCCAAAAATCTTAGTCACCAAGATCACAAAACTTTACTCAACTCTAAACAGACCTACGACTAGAACTTAGATACCTTATATTATATATAGTCCATTAGGGGATGGGGCTTTTTGGGTTTTTTTGTTTTGTTTTTTTGTGTTTTTTATTAGACCATGCTCTCTTTCTTAGGATTAAAATTATATTAACTCAGTGTAATTTTAGGTTAGTATACATAGAACTACATTTTCACTCCTACAGATTATATATAATCCAAACCTGTGTAACACTAGTTTAGAAGATGTCTATAGTTTTTCTAGTTTTTAAACTCCCAGTTCTACTTTTTAGCCTTTCTACTTTTTAACTAATATAAAGATCTAAATAATTATATTTTATTTTTCAAAATAAAAAACATTTTGAGTGTAAAGAGCTCTCAAGTCTAGCAGAGGTATATGAACAATAGGGATGAAATGTCCTATTTGGCTACAAGATAAAACTCTTACATCAGGAATGCCAGATAGGACTAACTATACAAATTAGCTTAAGGTCAGGACTGGTTTGTTTTATACCTCATTTTGTCATTGGGATTTTAGGGGGTTAGTAGTACCTTAACATACGAATTTTGGCTACTATCTTAAAGGTAATTATTAGGATTAGTGAAGTGATAAAATTTCTGCTCTATATCATACAAACATTTTTTATGGGCCTCCTGCCACCTGATCGTATTGCCAGGCTGTTGTTTTCTTTTCTTTTTTGGTACTAAAGTCTTTGAAATACTGGTTGGTAGGTTTCTATGAATAAAAAGGAAAACTTAAGATTTATTTTTTATGTTAACATTTTTAATCCATTATAGTCAACTGGTGATGTGTTCTTTCAGAGTATTATCTCAACGTTTGAAGAACATTCTGCTATAAAATGATGCATAGTGCTGTTCTTCTGACCAAATACTTTTGTATTCTTTTCCCCCCAAGTTGTTGGTAGTAAAAGCAATGAAATGAGTAAGCTTTCTTATATTTGTTTATTCCATGCACAATAATTTCAAAGTTAACATTTTATTCTTTGAAGATCAAAAAAAGATCAAATGAGTGATACTGTATTTCATTATATTTCTTATCTGAAAGATTTGTAAATGGGCTTGATAAATAAATATTAACATCAAAGAATAAAGCTTTCTATTGACTCCTACCAGGAAAAAGAATCAGATTGCTCAATTTAAAAAAAAAATGGGTCTGTGCACTTTGAGATTGATGTACATATATGAATTTTAAATCAACCATACATCTTTTATTTTGTAATATTAAATTCAATGATTAATACGATTTTTTGGCTCATGAAACCAAATAAAATTTTTTCATCTTTGTAGATATTATGATTTCCTTCTTACCAGGGAATATTATATTGCTCTTGATATGGGACATGTAACTACTTGTAAACAAATTATTGTGCAGAATTGGTTGCTCTTACTGCTTTGTTTATTTGAGAAGATAGGAAAAATACAATGACCCTTAAGTAAAATCTTCCATCAGTTGATAATCACTTTGTGCCTGGAACCTTTGTAGTATCACTGTGAGGCAAATGACTATGACTTGGTATACTTACTTGGTCATTCTTTGTTTTTTCAGATGGGTGCATGTTTTTCAAAGGTTTTTAATGGATGTCCCTTGAAAATTCACTGTGCAACATCATGGATAAACCCAGATACTAGAGGTAGTATCATATGTTTTTATGCTATCTTTCTAATTATTTTTTAAACTGAGGCTATGAAAGCATTTGATTTTATTCATTTTCTGAATCTCTGAAAAAAATTTTGTTATAATTTTTAAAAATTTTAAGGTGTTTCTCTACTGTTAGCAGTGTTTGAGGTGTTACACATGACATTAAAATTTCATTGTGTAGTTGCTATATCAATGTAGTGAAACCCTACATGTTATGCCACCCTAATTTCCCTTAGAAAGTTTCTTCTGTAGCTCAATCACTCACTATCTTTGTGTTATAGACATAGCCATTGCTAAAAGAATTTAACTACCAAGGATTCAGGAACTAGTAACCACTTTAGAGGCTCTCTCACCTTAAAAAGGACTATAATAATAGTTGTTATTAGGCACTGACTGAAGACTGTCTGCATCCTCTCACAATAGATCTGTATCTTAATGTCTATCTACATAAGATATACATAGAAATAGACACAACACGTTACACATGTGTTCTTTCTAAATCTTAAAAACCCAAGGTGTAGGTACTTTTGTTTCACAGGTAGGGGAAATGACAGAGAGGCTCACAGCCACTCAGTGGTAGAGCTGCAGTTTGAAGGCAGTTCAGCTCTGTCTGAGCCCAAAGGCTGTGCCTTTAATCTACCAGTGCTAATTCTGAACACAGGCCAGTGCAGGAATGCTCTTGGCATTCTAAGTTGTTCTCAGCACACTACAGTTTAGTCTGGAGAAATTCTTGACCTGTTGTTTTATATTATAAATACAGATCGAACGGTGCCATGGTCAAACTTCTGATATCTTCTAAAAGATATTTAGTACCCTGGCAGGTATCCAAGTTTCAGTTAAGTTTTTGAAGAGGCACTGGTTTCATCCCTTTTTTTTAATGTTTGTGCTTATAATGGTAGCCCATTTACAAAATTTTTTGAATCTGTATTAGCTCTTCTTGATTTACATTCCATGTGTCAGTTGCGCATGATCCTCTCTTAAAGGAATTTTAGAGAAGGAGCTGCAGATTTTCTGCCAGCCTTAGCACCCACTGATGAGTGAGAAATCCTAGCATGTCACTCTTCACTGCTTTCAGGGTAATATTTACATGTAACTCAATTTATTAAGCTAGTGTGTCTAACCACTTATTTGCATTAAAATTAAAAAAATATTTACTTAATTTTAGACTATATAAATCCTTTTAAAAAGTTGTTTATATATATATCAAAATCAGTGGATTACTTTTGGCATTTCAGATCAGTACTTGATATTTGGTGCCGAAGAAGGGATTTATACCTTGAATCTTAATGAACTGCATGAAACATCAATGGAACAGGTATGTTATTTTGTATTTTCCTTGTTTTTAATTTTTCAGTTATATGTACACACTAGACAAATAAGTTCTAATTCTGTGATTTAGAATTACTAAATTCTTTTATTCATGAAACCTTCATGTTCTACTTACCAGATATTGATCACACATTCACAAGACTAGTTCTTACCTTTGCAGAGCTCATGATCTAATAGAGCAAAAAGACACATAAACCAACACTGCAACACTCAGGGTTAGGTGTCACACTAGGAATGAGTACAAGGTGTAAGCCACAGAGGCAGAAGTCACTAGCGCCTCCTGTGGAGAAATGAGAAGAGTCGTTTGAAATGGACTGTAAATGACGACGAGTGGAAGGTTACCAGACAGAGGATAAAATGAAGGCATGTAGTTGTGAAACAGCATGGGGGACCATGAATGGACAATTTAACTGGAATATACAAGGTGTGATCAGACAATATGGTGAATGTTTAAATTAAAAGAAAAACTTATTGGGCCGGCCGAGTGGCTCAGGTGGTTAAGAGCTCGCTCAAGAGTGTGAGCTCTGAGCAACAGTGGTTCGATTCCCAGCCCAAGCTGAGCTGACAACAGGTGGCAGGATGGCTCAGCTAAAAAGAAAGAAAAACTTATTACAGTAAAAGACACATTGCCATTAATTCCCCTCAAAATACTCGCCCTTGCGTTGAACACACTTACCCCATCATTCTTGCCACTTTCTGAAGCAGTTCTGGAAGTCCTTTTTCATGAGTGTCTTTAGTTGTGTGGTCATGGCTGCCTCGATGTCCTCAGTGGATTCAGAACGTTTACCTTTCATGGTCATTTTGACTTTGGGGAAGAGCCAGCAGTCGTATGGTGCCAGATCCAGTGAATAAGGTAGAGAAGGACACACCGTAATGTTTTTATTTGACAGAAATTGCCATAAACCAGTACTAGGGAAAAAACAAAAGAATCTTGTTGTTTATAATAATTAGTGACTAATTTAAAGGTGGTAACATTTTTCTTGGCTATAATAAGATATCTAAAAATCGTATTACTGGTAACAATATTAATTATAAAGAACAAGACCAGGGCGGCCGGTTAGCTCAATTGGTTAGAGCACAGTGCTCATAACACCAAGGTTGCCGGTTCAATCCCCGCATGGGCCACTGAGCGGTGCCCTCCACAACTAGACTACTTGAAACAACTACTTGAGTTGGAGCTGCTGTGTCCTGGAAAAAAACAGTGTTCCCCAATAAATAAATAAATAAATAACTCCAATTAAAAAAAAAGAACAAGATCAACTTCATGCATAGGTGTGGATAAGCATTTATCAACCTAATTTAAGGGACTGTTGGCACCCATCAACTCCACTCAACCTCATTTTGCAATAAGTCCCCTTCTTAGGTGCTTCAGCATTTGAAATTACACTGTTAGAGTAACATTATCTTAGCTAAACGTGCCTTTCAAGGTGAAACATTTTTCCTCCCAGAGGAAGCCACATTTTTCAAAATTAAAAACCATGTCTTGTTAGGAGAAATTAGTTATTTTATGTGAGTACATTTTGCAAATAAATGAAACAAGTTTTATTTAAAATAGATTTTACTTTCTCTCCTTTTATTATTGCCTTTTCTAATTACCCAGGGCCATCACTGTGACTTTGTGCTTTAAAGTAGTACTGTCCATTGAGGCCTTGATATGTTTTATTTATTTCTTCTTTCTCTCCATTCCCTGCTCTCATCCCAGTCAATTTTGGAGTAACCTAGTAGGAATTGCAAACCCAGCAGCCAAGCTTGTTAATCAAAATGCATAATTATGTATTCAGCAGTGGTTTTCAAAGTTCAGTATGCATCAGAATCGCCTAGAGCACTGGTTAAAACATAGATTGCTGGGCCCACTTTCAGAACTTCTGCTTCAGTAAGTCTGGTTGAAGCTCAAGAATTTGCATTTCTAACAAATACCCAGGTGATGCTAGTGATGCTGGTGCAAGAATGACTTAGAGAACCCCCGATATTCATCATGAAGTATCTTAATGAGAGCAGCTCTTTTTTATTTTCAAAGTATATGGACTGTGTTCCATGAAATTCCCTATTCTTTGCCCTAGATACTAATCACTTCAAGCTTCCAGAGGTGCCTCTCAGTGCTTATGTGCTAGATTTCAGTAATGAATTCCATCTACTGGGGGTGCCACAAAATGTATACACATGACTTGTATTCATCTTTTGCTATCAGTATATATTGAATATTACAATTTTAATACAGTTCTTTCCTTTCTTAAAATGTCTGTACATTTTTTTAGCACCCTCTGTATATATCCTTTATGATTCATAAGTTTTAATCATAGTCTCGGCCATTTTTTTCTCTGTACTTAGTGTTTCCGTATCGTATGTTCCAGTACATACACTATGATCATTTTTTTCTATCTCTTCTGCTCCGAAAGCCATGAATGTCCATAGATGCCTGGTTAAGAACATTTTTTGGGGAAGTACACAGGAGAGTGTAACCCCAAAACCAAAGTAAAGGAATAGACATTGTTTGAAAGCATCCTTTTTTTTTGCAAAGTTTGGGATTACATAAAGGAGACTCAAGCTAATCATACCATGTTGAGACTTAGATAATGAAATTACATTGCTAATTTAATTTTCCTTCCCTCATAAATATGTATATCTGTATATCATCTTGTTTTAAATGCCTTACAAAAATGAATTTCTATTAGAAAACATTTCATTTTATTGATAAGATAGCTTAGGTTAATATATTTACATTGCAGTTATCTATTATCCTTTATAAACTTTGTGCCTTTTTTTTATCAGCTATTCCCCCGAAGGTGTACGTGGTTGTATGTAATGAACAATTGCTTATTATCAATATCTGGTAAGTCTTTTTGATTTTAAATACTTTACAGATGTTCCTGTTTATATTATTTGCTTTTATGTCATATTTATTTTTCTCAACAGGTAAAGCTTCTCAGCTTTATTCCCATAATTTACCAGGGCTTTTTGATTATGCAAGACAAATGCAAAAGTTACCCGTTGCTATTCCAGCGCACAAACTCCCTGACAGAATACTGCCAAGGTAACTGTACATTTAAATATGTTTCATTCTTAGACATAATATGTTAATTCATTCTAATAAATATACTACAAAATTTGAAAAAGCATCCAATTTGGGTTAGTAGAAATCACATGTAATAAAAAAATTGTAAGAAGTAATATGTTTTCACAAGTGTTTATCACATTATCCTAAAATTATTCTACATCATACTTACCAGTTATATCAAGCATTTTCTTTCTGAATTTTTTCTTCTGTTTTTCTACATGGTTATAACTAATTTTTTTCTGTAATCTGTTGGTAACTTTTGCATCACATATAGTGCTTTTGACATATTGTTATTTTGAATAAAATGAATTTTTCTGAAAGGACAGTTTCTAAACTTGGAAAATCAAGATGATTTATTAAAGGTTTTTTACATTAGAAAAAAATTACTTAGAAATTGAGGGTTTTGCTTTTCTTCTTCCAGGGATTTTAAATTGCACTCTTTCTTTTGCTTATTATTATATTAAACCTTATTTATTGACTGAAAGGTCTTCTGAGTCTGGTGTAAATTGTATTTTACAAAAACTTTATAATATAGCCATTCTTCCTTTACAATATTAGTTGTAAAGCAACTAATGTACAACCTTAGCTTTCAAGTACTTTGAAAATCTACTGTTCTCAATTGCAGAGTTCATAGGATAGCTAAGATTTGTTTCTTTGTGCACAAAAACTTGTTAAACATTAACCCTTTTGGTGAAAATTATTTTAAAATATACTGCATCCTTTTCTGTTCTCTTAAAGTAGATTAATTGAGCTTAATTAGATCTTTTTATGACTCATTTGCAATTATGAACTTGATTATTATACTTTACAGTAATATCTGTAGTTGGAGTTTGGGGTATTACTCCTATAGCTAGCTCCGGGAAAGGAGTTAGGGAGTTTCTTCCCATATAGTTTATATGCCCCTCTTTTTCTTGCATTTGCTACTTTGTGCTATTTTTCTGCCTACTTATATAGCACATCTCCATCCAACTTTCTAACTTGATAATCCCAAATTACTGTGGGCGTGGGAACTGACCGCCAAGCTTTAGAAGTATAGATAATATAAGGTACAATCAAAGAGCTCGTGAGGAATGTAAGGCACGTAAACTTTAATGCATTCACTTATTGATACTGTTTTGTCAGAATAAAGACCTTTGTGTTCAATTCTTCAAAATTTTACTGAATGTACCAAATGTGCAGAAAATGTCCTAGTATACAGCTGAGACAAAATTGAATAAGGTATTACCTCTTCCTTTAAGGAATTTCCGTACAGTAAGATTTTACCTTTAAGAGTTATTTTACCTCTAAGCTATTATTATTTCAGGTTATTTTGTTGTAGTCAATCTTTAGTGTTAGTAGCACTCACAAGTATGCCCTTCCCACTTTCTTCGTTTTCATTATCCAAAAATCAGTCAATGTAAAATTGACTCTTCAGTCTCACGTTTATTGGTAGGAAATCTAAAAACCTTTTTTGCATGGCATTATTTTATATATGTATTACTACCATTTTTTCTACCATATAGTCAGCACAAATTAAACTTCCTTTGAGCATCTTGTAGTGCTTCATCGTTCTCATTATAAATATAAGTGCTGTTGTACCATATTATATATCTTCTTTAATAAAGCATAGGCTTTGGAGTCCAAGTAGACTTGAATTTAAACCCTACATCATTCACTTTCCTAGGTCCTTGGATAAATTACACAACCTTGCCAATATATTCATTTGTAAAATAGAACCAATCTACCCATCTTGCAGAATTGTTTTAAAAATAATAAATTATGTATATCAAGTACCTATCATGTTTTCTAGCTCCTAGTAGGCTCTCAATAAGTAGACCTATTGCCATCATAAATTGCACGGTAAATTGACCTATGTCTGTAGTGTACCCTAAAATATCCTACATTAAATATATTGAGAATGTTAGTCAACTTAGGATTTCCATTAATTGGGTGCTGGTAAAATAAATTTTATTATTTTTTTATAAAATCATGACTAAAAGTAAGCTAAGTTTGTAAGTCACTTTAGAAAATAATAAATTTTTATAACATTTCAGTATGCTGCCCACAACCCAATTTTGAACAGTTTCATTATTAACTCAAAGCTATACTTAGTAGTTGATATTTTTTTTTTGTCCATGTAGTATTCTTTATGATCTTTCAGAACCTGGCAGTCAGTTAATCCTCCTGGGTTTCGACCAGTGCGGTAACCTAACCCCATACTTAACCTTGAGAGCCAGGGGACGAGTTCACAAGTGTGGACCAGGAACATTAAACTTGTTACCAGTGGACATGTATCAGAAGCTTGGTTCAGATTTTTAAAAACACTGAAAAGCACTTTGGTTCAAGCAATTTGCTTTAAGGGTGTTGGGCATTTTTGTTGTGCTGTAAGCTGTGTGAATTCCAACGTATAGGAAAGGGGCATTTTTATAATTATTAATCTAATTTATGATTGATAAATTAAGATTATTTAATAAATGTAAAACTTCTCAATATTGTTAGTCAAGTGGAACAATAAGGTGCTTTAACCAGAAATTCAAAATCCAGACATCTAGATGGCCACTGTAGTCATTAAGTGCCTCAGCTTCTAATTTCTGTATCATTGTTTAGGCACCATCATATAAAAAGAATTCTAATTCAAACAGATGAATGCTTAGAAGTAGTAACAGTTTATAACAGTTTACCTTGCAAACTCAGAATACTCTTCAATAAAACTGATCAAGAATCATGAAAAATAGATTGTTCTTTTCAAAGTTGAATCACTAATGAACATTGCAGTCAGACAGACGAAGACCCTAGGTTAGAGTTCTTTTCCCTAAATTGCTAACTTGAGGAAATTACTAAATCTAAGCCTCAGATTTCTATGCCATGACCTACCTCCTGCCATTACCAAAGGGACTAATGACCCAGAATATGTGAAATCCAGGGCATTATAGTAAGGACAGACATACTAAAAGCTAAAATTACAATACCTCATATGCTTGGTTATAATAAGCGTAGACTTGGTTATTACTCAGCTGTCAATTGTACAGTGACAAGAACATCAAGAAGTTTTCTGAGCTTGTTTGGGATGATATTCAGTATCACATGCATACTCTATAGTTTTGTTACCAGCAAAGCACAACTCTGATCTTTTAAATAAAAAAAGACCTATGCAGAGCGTTGACATCTAATCTGGGGCACATTTACACATTTAAAAGAAGTTTAAATATGTGTACAGAAATAGAGGAGTATAATTTGAGGTTTTCATAACTTGGTACATTAACATTTTTGTTATATTAACTTTCATTATAAAAAACATTTGAGTATATGTGATTTTTTTAATTGTAGTTTTAAAAACTAATTTTAAATGGATTTTTACATATTAAATTTGAATTATTGGGTTGTCAGAAAAGTTATGACACATTTTTGCAACAAAAAAAACAGAAAAAATACGTCATGGCTTTTCTGACAACCCAGTAGATGTTTGCAGATCTCCTAAAGCACCTTTGCAGAAAATCTATATCTGACTTTCCTGAATAGAGAAATTAAAATATCTAAATAAAAAGTTACTACACATTATTTTAGTGGTAAGACAACTTTTTATGTAGCTTAAATTTATATGTGCTAAAAATATCTTTTCCCAATTTGTGACTTATCTTTTCACTTTCTCAGTGGTATCTTTTGATAACCCATAGTTACTAACATATTTACAGATTCACTCACCAAATTGAATGCCACCTGTAGCTTGAGGTGCTAGGCATGCATCAATGGAAAAAAATATCAATTTAAGTTTATCAGTATTTTCTGTATAATTTGTTCTTTTTGCATTTTTTAAAGAAATCCCAAGGTCATATTTTTCTGCAATCTAAATATTTTATAGTTTGCTTTTCATATGTTAAATTCTTAATCCGTTTGTAATTGATGGGAGGGATGAGAAAGGCATCCAATTTATTCTTCTTAATAGATGATGTATTATGTCAGAATAGCTCATACTTTCTGCACTGATCTGTAACAGTTCCATTATCACATACTCATTTTACCTACATGTATTATATATTCATTTTCATTTACATTTAGGAAATTTGCTGTGTCAGCAAAAATCCCTGAAACCAAGTGGTGTCAGAAATGTTGTGTTGGTAAGTAAACTACCCAATACCATGTGACTCTCCTTCTTTGCGCAGTGGAGAAGAAAATGCTATGAGGTTCATATTTTTTTTTCTTTAATTTTATTGGGGAACACTTTTTCCGGGACTCATCAGCTCCAAGTCAAGTAGTTGTTTCAGTCTAGTTGTGGAGGGCACACCTCAGTCGCCTATGTGGGAATCGAACCGGTACCCTTGGTGTTCTGAACACTGCACCCTGTGCTCTAACCACATGAGCTAACCAGCTGTCCCCAAGGCTCATTTTTAAATCTAGTGTAAAACAGTACTATTCCAGGGCATTCTGCTAGTAATAGTTTTTTTCCCCCTTAAGTAAAATAAGTGTCTTGATCATTTTATCTCCATGTGAACTAAACTTAGTATAGTACTTTGCACATAATAGTTGTTTCACAAATAAAGTATTGACTGGATAAATGGAGAACGGAGGGTGACTTTTTATTACAGCACTTCTAAAACACCCTGTTCTCCAAGGGACCTGTTACTTATCATTCACCATTCTGCTTAGTAATGGCTTCTGAGACTACATTTATTTATTCAGCATGTGAAAACTTATGCTTGGGACGTAAAGATTAGGAGACTCCTGTTCACATACCACCAGCTTAAATTCCTTCCTTTCTCACCCCCATAACAATTAGCTGTTTTATTTACATATAGCAAAACCAAAAATGTTACCTTCCCTTCAAAAACTCTGTGGCAATTCAATTTTATTATTTGTAAATCTGTATTTTGAGATTTGATTGTCATGTTGAACCTTACTACCAAAAGCACCCTGAATCACCTATCCTTAAATATGCTATATAGCCTGTTAATTTGGCAACCTCTCCCCAAATCTCCTTTGACCCTTCTTCAGGATCTGGCTGCCTCAGCTAATCTCCCTGCGACCTTAAGACCTAAAGTCCTTCTTCTCACCCCCAGCCCTATAACAACCAGCAATTTCATTTGTTCATACAAAGAAAAATCCTGCAAGAGATGAGGGAGTTTCATGCTGTTGCCTGAAACTATTTCTTTTTCACCCTGCAATCTAATTAAAAAATTGAAATGGCAGCCAACTTTCGTCTGTTTGGTTTTTTTGAGCATGTAACTATCATTGTAAGGACTTAGTATTACAAGGAAACTTACTATCCTTTTTTGCCTTTACAGTGAGAAATCCATACACAGGCCATAAATACTTATGCGGGGCACTTCAGACCAGCATTGTTCTATTAGAATGGGTTGAACCAATGCAGAAATTCATGTTAATTAAGGTAAGTGTGAAAGTCAACCTAAGTCATTCTTAGCATAAAAGCTTAATTAAGTCCATTTTCTTGTTCTTAAAAAAACAAAACAAAACATTTTTTCAGTTAATTCCCAAATTAATTTCATGATTTTGGATTATGTGTGGCAGGATAGGGAAAATCTCCCCAATTGTAAGGAACTCAATATACCTGAGAAAAGTTTTGAAAGAAGCTAGAGAAATATAGTTCAGGGATATGGCAATAGGAACTAGAAATAGTGTCTCACATATATATACAGCCTGCTACCAAGAATGGGAGGTGCTGAGAGCACTGAAATGCTTGAATATGTTCTCTGCTCAACCTGGCCCATCACAGCAGAGAAGCAACCAGCGGATTGGCATTTGGCCTAAGAGGACAAGGGATAACCACGGTGAAGGGAAACTATTTGTTTTGCTTATATGCCTCCCTATTAATTTGCCCAGGCTTTTTCCCTTGGATGGTTCTTTTGCGCCTGAGTTTTTCTAGAATCTTTAATTAATGAATATTCTTTAAAATATTTAATATTACTCAGCTATAACTTAAATTTTCAGGAAAAACTAACTTGAAATGTGTTAAGTGAAGGCTCAGCCACACCAAGGAAATTCTCAATGAATTTTTAAAGCTGTTTTCTTTGTTATTTTATATAAATTAAGTAGAATTATCAAGCATTTCTCTTTGAATGCTGGTACTAAGCCTTGTTAGTCAGGGCCAAGCTTCCTGGTACCATCCACTTGGAAAAGAGAAAACATGGATGGGTAATTTTTAAGCTTCCCATGTCTTCAAAGTCTTTTATTTATTATTATTCTCAGATATTAGACTTACAGTACAATTCTACTTGCAGGTCTCCCTTAAGATTTCTTGCTTTTAGCACTTGGCTTAAATTCCCTCAGCTGCAGTCCCTTAACCTGCCTCCTTTCATCTTAACCCAACTCGCCTTTCTCTGTCTCTGGGCTTCAAGACTATCTGTGTTTTGTTTCTGGATTTGACATTATTTTGATTAGTATTTTTGATGTTTCTGTACTACAGCTCTTACCAGATGTGTTCTAAAACATTCTTATGCTTTCTATAGTCTACCTCCCTCTTAATGACATTTCTGACAGTTTTTGCTTCACTAGACATCATTTGCATCATAAATAAGTTACAAATTAAAGACCTTCCCAACAAACATTTTTGTACTTATTACAAATCCAGGCACAATGCTCCTTAAATAGAGACACAAAGATGAGTAAGTACAGTCACTGCCCTCAAGGACCATCACCAATAGCAACTGGATTTAAAACTATTACACAGGAGTCCCCTTCTGTGAATGACTTACACACATTGCTTAGTTATTATTGGAAGCCAAGTAGAAATATTCCAAAGCTGTTGGTTTTCTTATTTGCTGACCAAAAAAAAAAAAATTAGAAGCATTGTTTTCTTTGTGCTTTACTGCTCTTACCATATTTAAAAGAGAATTATTTTAAATGTTTTACCGTATTAAAAATGTGACAGATTCTATCCGAAGCGTATCCCCAGGTGATGGGAAGGCTTCTAGAGAGGAGGCTGGAGGGTCAGCGTCCATACCTATGGGACGGCTGCCCTCCGGCAGGCACAGGGAGGGAGGGGATGTGGGGACACAGAGCTTCATCCCCCAGCCACGAGAACCACGTTGTGTCTCTAACACTTAAGGACTAGTAGTTGTGGTAGCCCCCATTTCACCTATTTATTTTCTTTGGTATTTGCAGTGAATTGCCAGATTAAAAAAATAAATCAAGTTCAGTTGCTTTGTTAAATACAGTAATACCTTGGTTTGCGAACATAATTCATTCCGGAAATAAACTACTCATATTGCATGACATCGCTCGTTTACCACGTTAAATGTATTAGAATTGTTTGCTCGTCTTGAGGAATACTTGCAAACCACGTTACTCACAATCCAAGGTTTTACTGTACTAGTAGTAGCCCTTTTGGAAATATAATAAAAACACAGCCCATTTATAAGAGCAACAAACAATATAAGATATATTAAGAGTGGACTTAATAAAACATGCATAAGACCAATATTTTTTTGAAAAAACAAGTTTTTTATTGTCAAGAAGAACATTGCTAGCACCTCAGAACTCCCCATGCACCACCCGCTACAAGTTAGTTCCCTTATTTTCCATTTTTACTCTATAAGCATACACCCCTAAACATGATTTTTTTAACAGTATATAAGTGGAATCATAAAATATATATTCATTTGCATCTGGCTTCTTTTGTGCAGCATTATATTTGTGTAGTTGTTGGATATAGCTATAATTTGTTCATTTTCATTGCTCTATAATTCTTCATAGTATGAGCATTCCATAATTTTATCCATTCTATTATTTGATAGGCTTTTGGGTTCCTTCCAGCTTTTTGTTATTCTCAACAATGCTGCTGTGAGCATTTTTGCATGTCTCCCATGCATGTGTGTACTCATGTTCTCTCGAACATATAACTAGGAGTGTTATTGCAGGGTCCTAAGTGATACACATCTTCAACATAAATAAATAATATAATTAATCAGTGTGGCCATACCAACTTATACTCCCACTGTCAGAGTGTGAGCATTCCTTTGCTCCTCTCTTGTTATTGTTCTTTTTAATTTTAGCCATTTTGGAGGGTATATATAGTATCTCATGGTTCTATTCCCTGATTATTAATGAAATTAGTGTTTTCTTTCTATTTTCCCAGACTTTGAAAATATGAACTTATTTAGTCTCTTTGTACAAAGCGATATAAAAATAATTTTTAGAGTTACGTATCATTAAATTGTTGCATTGTAGCTAAGTTCATTTATTAAACAGAATCGCTTGAGATATGGGACTAAATTTCTCTTATTTGTGTTTCTTTTCTGCCCACACTTATAAGAGGAGTGTCTCTTGCTAATTAGCATTTCAGTTTTCTCATCCATGTTTGTTCAGTTGGATAAGAAGGCAGAACAGTATTGAAGCAGCATCAAATTGGGAAACAGGAGACTGCCACAAAGGGCCCTGGGACCCTGGGCCAGTCATCCAGTTTCTGGGTCTCAGTTTTCAACTCTGAAAAGAGAGGGTTGGACAAGTGATTTGTAAGTTCCCTTCCAGGCCTAATATCTTAAAATTATATAACTTTTAACTTAAAAAATATTTACAGTGCTAAATGTACAATCGTTATAAAGATATTTCATAATTTGGATTCTTCTACACACCCCAAGATTCTCTGAGAAGAAGCAGTCTTTTATAGTAGAAATCAGGTTTATGTATTTCATAAAACCAAGCATTTTTAAAAGTGTTTTTGTAAAATTATTTGGCTTTTGTTTACCTTTTTTAATATATTTTTGTTTCTTTCTCTAGCACATAGATTTCCCTATACCATGTCCACTGAGAATGTTTGAAATGCTGGTAGTTCCTGAACAGGAGTTCCCTTTAGTTTGCGTTGGTGTCAGCAGAGGGAGAGACTTCAACCAGGTGGTTCGATTTGAAACCGTCAATCCAAATTCTACCTCTTCGTGGTTTACAGAATCAGGTTTGTGATTTTGATTGAATTGTAGGCTAATACATGTACTGATGTATAAGTAATAAATTTATTACATGTGTCATTAGGCAAAAGCAGTGCATAAAAATCCAATCTTGAACAACTTATTAGACTGGAAAAAGGAAGATGACTTGCTTTAAGAAAGCTCATTTGTTTGATGCATTTAAAACATTCCAGTGGTCCCCAAACTTGAGTATGCATCAGAATCAACTGGAGGCTCTTGTTCAAACATGCTGCCGGGCCCCACACCCAGTTTTTCATTCAATACACCTGGAGTGGGGCTGAGAATTTTAATTTCTATAAGTTTCCAGGTGATGCTGATGATGTTAATATAAGGACCAAACTCTGAAAACCAGATACATATACAAACCTCAGGCTAATAAAAGAGCTGACTTAAATAAAAGGAAAATTTTATTAAATATAGTTTATTTTTCAATATATTCTTATAATTAATACATAGGTGCTATCCAGTAACTTTAATTAAATTTTTTTAATGATTTGTAATTAAGATACAAATTATATCTGCTTCCAAAGTATTTCAGGGTTCTTGAAAATAATTCTTGAATATATTTCCTTAAAATTTGATCTACGTTGCTCAGTTGATCCTTCCTTCATAGCTAGTTAACCTTCATAGCTAGTATTTTAGAAAATACTATTTCCAGTTGATGAGCTCTTTATAAAAATTTGCTTATAATTTGCAACCTTCAGTTGTGTTGTTGCAGTCACTACACATTGGCAAAGCTTGAGTTTCATGGTAAATAAATCTGATTACTTTCACAATTAAAGAAAAAGACCTTAGGGCCGGCTGAGTGGCGCGTTGGTTAAGAGCTGGCTTGGGATGCCAGCTCTGAGCAGCAGGGCCCTGTTTGAATCCCGCATAGGCCATTGACACTGCCCTCTACAGCTAAGATGGTGAACAACAGCTCGACCTGGAGCTGGACTGCCCCGAGTCACCGGCGACGGGGTAGGCTGCAGCCCCTGCTGCAGTGGGCTGCCATGAGCTACCATAAGTGGCTGGCAGCCAGTGTGAGTGGCCGGCAGCCAGCGCGAGCTGCCGTAAGCGGCCGTCCAGAGGCCAGCGAACGATCTGCCTCATTCGGGAAGAGCGCAATGATAATACCAACATGGGCCAGTGAAGCAACGTCCTCCACAACTAGACTGAAGAACAAAAGGACAGCAACTTGTCTGTTCCCCTTCCCCAATTCCCCAATGCTGTTCCCCTCCCCCAATTCCCCAATAAAAATCTTTAAAAAAAGAAGAAGAAAAAGACCTTAAAGATCTTTTTATCTTTATTTTTAAAGCACTGTGTTTGTTATGAAGCTCCTTTTGCTTTTTTTTCTCTTTAAAAATGACATTGTACTGTGTTTTGCTATAAAAGAGGCACTGGCCATTTTATAAGGCAATTTGAAAGATCTTGCAGTGACCCTTTGTCAGAGTCTTTGGCTACTTAAGGAAATGTTAAGAAACCAATTTGACCATAAGTATTGATTAGTTAGGAGTTTGTTGGGAGCCTAAAAGAGTTTTCACAAAAGAAGAAAAGTTAAGAGACCGAGGTTTTTTGGCATTGAAAAAAAATAATAATCACACATTCCCAAAAGCCTATTACAATTACATGGCTTGCTGAATGAAGCCCTGGCAATTTGAAAGCATTTTCCTTTAAGGACATATTATTGAAGGAAAACATGGCAGGCCCTTGGTAACATTACCTGACTCTTCTTTGGCTCCCCCAAATTCTCTATACTACCTTTCCCCTTAAACATCCATCTTCCCTTTCAGACTTCTGCTGTCTAATCTCTTTCTCTCTATTTCACAGAAAGGGATTGTTGGTTGATTAATATTTTATTGTCAGTGAATTTCAATTAATGTCTTAATTCTCCTAAGCATTATAATTTTAAATCCTTTTCTAATTGTTGGATGAAGGGCCTCATTTCCCAAGAAGAATTTTGTAATGCAGTGGGTACGTCCTTCCAAGAAACTTTTGATTACATTCTCTGACTGTAATGAAATCCGTTTAGTAGAAGTTAAATATGACAAATGTAATTCATCTCTGGTTTTGAGATGATGAGATAAAAATAAAGAGTGAGAGAGAAAGTATGGTTAGGGTTTTGCATCAGATGAAATGTCAGCTATCTTACACATTAGAGTCCACCTGGAAAGCTTTTAAAACTCCTGATACTTCAAG